GAGCAACATCCTTCTCTAAATTTTACCCCTGCCTTGCCCACAAAAGGGTGAGTCAAGTTAAACCCTATATATAGAGTCTAATGTTCCAAGGTGTGAACTATGCACTGCACTGCAACTTTGCTAGCAAATCTGGACGAACTTGTTTGCTTGTATGTTTACTGTGGCTAGCCAGAGCCAGCAGCCACTGCCAGACAAGCACAGTTTCACGACATGTTCATGTACGCTGGCCAATGGAGGTCTTAACAAGAAAACAAGACCGAGGTCTTAGCAAAGGACCGAAACAAGACCAAAACCTCACTGAAGGAGAACAGCATCCCAGTAAGAGTTCCATGCTGTGCTGAGCGCCTGCCGAGTAGAAACTGAGGTTTGAAGCCTGCTTAGGCCTTACTAATGTCTGAACATAGGTTTCAACAGGGGGGGCCTGGGTGTAGGGGGCGTGCATAGTAGCCATGATATTCGGGATTTCAGAGGGCTCGGTCTGTTGTGACCATTGACCAAGCATATTTGTTCTGGGAACATGTCGCCCGGAGCGGCGATGTTGCGTGCGCTGCCGACTCTTTCTGAGCACGAGCGCGCATCCAAACCAGCAGAGCAGCAACAGCTAAGCAAAAAGGAAGCGCCGGCACAAACAGCGGCAACAGCGGCGGCGGCAGCAGCGGTAGCAGCAGCGGCTGCAGCACAGCAAAGCAGTAAGCAGCAGCACCAGCGGCAGCAGCGGAAGCTGCAGGTGGAGGTTGGCAGCAGCCAGCCAGCAAGGCCAAAGCAAAAGGAAGACGGTGGAGAAAGACCAGCAGCGATAGCAGAATAGGGCGGCCGAATCATTCGAGCTTCCGACGAAGGCGTCTACATCCTAGGACTGAAGGGCCAGCCCCCCACGGTGCGACCTAGGGTTAGAATAGCGTGTCATAGGGTTGAAATAGCATGTTTATGGGTTGGAAAAAAATGTTCAAGGGTGGAAAAAATATGTTTCCAGGGTGAAAAAAAAGGTTGGAATATAAGGACCATGGGTTGTTTTAGTAGGGGTTACATTTTTTCCAACCCAGGGTTGAAAAAGCGTCTTGGAGGGTTGAAAAAAAAGGTTAGGGTTGAAAAAAAACTGTTGGAGGGTTGAATAAACATCCAGCCCCGAGGAAATCTGCACCTACTTGAGCAGACATGATGGCTGCCCTCAATGGCAGAGTCAATGTCGCAAATGTGAAAATGCTGACACGAATCAAACTCACGAGGCGGTGCATTTCTACCAAACTTCTCACGGGCAGCTCACTTTTTCTGTGATGATCAGCTGGCAAGGCCAGTTTTTGCTTGCCTCATGGATACATACATAACTCAGCAGGAAACAGTGCGGGACGTTTCTCACCGCTGCTTTCCCGAGAAATGAAACTGCCCTTGTTTGGACTGCGTCAGAAGTGTTCACAAGAGTAAGCTGGAGAATCTGTTAGTTTCCTTTCTCCAGGAGCGAATTTCGGAATCAAATTGCCTGATGCCTGGACCTGACTTTGCAATGTCCCAAGTTGACTGCTACAGCAACCCAGCGTGGTTGAAACAGGGCCTGGCCTTGAATACTTGAAATCAATAGGATCCAAGAGCGACTACAATCACTTGTTGGCAAACGAAGAATTGGATTTAGATGAACATTGTCTGTTTTGTTTACACACACAAACTATCGATTTGTTCCTAGTGGTCTTCTTTGCACCCTACCTATCTTGTTTGCGAGTTTCCAGCCAATGCATGTTTCTTCTTGAATCACACGGCTTGTCCAACCTATGCTTTCCACCACATCTGGCTTTTATAGACGTGTTTGTGAACGTGAACGCCGCCTTGAAACGTTGATGCTGGAGAAAGTAGATTGTTCCCGCTTGCCATTGTGAGAGCGGTTCTTTTTTGGTAAATACATGTACACAATACACCTTAGTGAGCAGCCCGCATATCCTTGTTTCAGCGCCCTCTTTGCGATTGTTTGCGGTGTCCCACGAATGTCTCCAAAGCACTTGACAAAGCACCGCAAGAAGCAAGTGGAATCTATCAACGTAGACAGTTCTTGGAGTGTGGTATGCACAAATGGTGCACTGAATCAACCAATAGCAAATATACTTGCTCTGTAGCCCAGTTGCACACTGTGTCCCATCTTATACCATATTATACCGTGTATATATATATAAATCAAGGATTTATACGAGCCACGGGCAAAATGATTTGCGGGTTTTCGTTAGTTAATATCGCGCAGGCATCGTTCGAACTATCATTTCAGGCACGCGTTCGAATGGCCATAATTATAATGCTCCACCGTGTGAGTAATTCAAGAAACACACACCAAAACGTTGTTTCCTACAGTAAGCCTGGCTCTCCAACATAGTCGGAAGTATCGCAAGTCACAAACACTGGTTACGTTTCTTTCTGGCTCTCTTATTGTTCTACTGGAGTTGCAGCCCTTCCACAGAATCAAAAGAATCCAAACAAGCTGCCTCTGAAACAACCTTAACACTACTCACACGAAGTCATACAACCATCCATTCATACAAACCATGCAATACTCTTGCCAATGCACAACCTTTCTTGCAATGCAACAAAACGACATTTTCCACGTCGAATGTGACCTTGCTCAGGTCTGTAAATGATCTCAGTTTGGCTTGGTCTGTTCGCTTCATAGTAGTGCAACAGCTGCATAGATGCATATTCGAGATTAAGATATATATATATATTGTAAAATGGTGAGCGGAGGATCAACAGCAACTTGTAAAGGCAACTGTCACAACATAACCAACGGGGATCAAAGAACTCCGTCACGATCAAAAGCAAGCGGTGCGCTCACTTTTCCATTGCGCAACCGTCGGGGGCTCGGATGAGCCAGACTCAAGGGCCCTTGTGCCAAAATGGTCACATGAGAGGGCCGCCATCTCATATCATGATATGCATGTTCCAATGCATACAAATTCACATATATACAGTATATATCATGCCGTTGCACAAAGTTGGACCAACGGTTCCACAAGCAATGAATCATCAATGACTTTCATGAGTTCTTGGCAACTGCTTGCACACTTTGCAAATGAAAAGAAAACTAACGAACAAAACATGCTGATGTCGAACAATAGGGCCTACAGGCAACCTCTGCAATTGCCGTTCAACCACTGGTCTTGCTTTCTTGCCACACTAACATGCTGCATTGCACATGCAACTGGTCAGTGTGGAAATCTCCGAATCTGCTATGAAGGAGCTACATCGCGTCAATTTTTGCTTTCAGCTCAAGAGATGGCATAAGGATCTGCAAGAGCAAGTATACCACACCCTTAGTGTAAGCAAATGCGGACGCAAGGCTTGGAACTGCGGCAAGTATTTTATATATATAGACATCTTTGGACTCCAAGCACATTCCGAGCACTCAGAAACTGACCAGCACAAGAAGCATGCACACCAGGGTTGTGGTGCAGTACACTGTCCTTAAAGAACAAAATTTGACCTGACATCAGTATCTCGGCAGCAATTCGCCAGCCTTTTCAGACCCGTCATTTACTAAGTAGGCTCGGCTGCTTCCTTCGACACTCATGCGAAGGAACAGCTTGGAAAGGCTTTTAAGGTCTTTCCAAGAATGGTCAACACCCAAGCGTCCGTCTGAGCAAGTAGTAGTTTGAGGGCCCAATGTAGTTGAAGAAAAACCTGGGCTTTGCAAATGAGAACGCAGAATCGTCATCAATTGAGTCACCCCAGCTGATTGAGAGGTCTAAGGACAAGACTTTTTAGGTGCGGTGATGGCACATGTCCAATCCAACCGCTCCGTTGGCTCCGCAAAGCGTCCAGACTCCTATGTAAAGAAGCCGCAATTGTATGTTCTTCTCGTCTCCTTTTTCTTCTCTCTTCTATTCTGTTCTTTTCTTTCTGTCTTTCTTTCCTTCCTTCCTTCCTGTTTCAGAACTGTAGAGTCTGTAGATCGTTATTTTTTGTCCTTTCATCGCTTTTTCTGCTTTGCTCTTATATGATGTGCTTTTCACGCAACGCGCCCGGCCCTGGCCAATGGGTCTTCAGCTGCCTCTTCAAGTGAAAGTATTTCCACCTCCGCACCGCAGCGTAAGCGATAGGCAGCCGTCCACCGAGCACATGTCAATAGTGTCTGATGATTGATCTGAAACCACAATCTACTCACTGAGCAAAGCCACTAATCTGTTTCTTTTTCTCTAGTCTCTACGACACCCTCATATCCATGGGTGGCTGATTGACGTTTCTTGTTCACTAAGTCGTTCATTCCGCCTGTTTGCCTTCATCTCACAAGTCCAGATGTTACACCTGCTTTCTAAGCCAGTCTAAGTCAACCGCGCGTTGGTTTGGGGGTGACAGAATTGCCAGACTCCACTAGTCTTTGAGGGGTACAAAGTCTGGGCGTGAAGACTTGGCACGTTGTGTCAATCAAACTTAACCCTCCGCGGCAGCCTCCAACTTGAGAACTGCAGGGGTGACGTCCTTTTGCATAATTGTCGGGCACCAAAAGCAGCATACTGCCGTGCAGCATCGGCAAATCTTGCGCCAGCATTTGTTCCAGCATTTGCAACATCTGCAGCATCGGCAACACCTGCGCCAAAAATGTGTTGTAAGTTGGTTCTGAAGGAGCGGTATCAGGACAAACCACAGCTTCAAGTTCAACTGCACTGGAGTTCCCTTCCTGACAGGTCTGCATATATATTGTGGCATCGAGAATCGAGAACATCAATGCTCTCGTCCTATGAGAGAAATATCATGAAATATTATGAAATATTGCTGACCCAAGGAATGGAAGCATTCAGACCAATTTCTCTCACTTAGGTGCTGCCTGACGTCAGCTCAAGTCTCAAATAACTTGCTTGAACGATGGAAAATCAAAAAGGGGGCTCAGCCCTCCTTTTTGGGCAAAAGTCCGCCTTCTGACATCCGCCCTGGCCCTGGCAAGCTCGGGGTCTTCATCCAATGGAGCCTCCAAAATGCAGAATCTGGACACTCTTTGAAATGCTAAGGTGCATCACTCGCACCAAATTTAGGCTTGCATCTTGTTTTGAGATTGCACCCAATGATGATATTGAACTTGTCGAACGGGCAACATATATATATATATATACATATATATATATATATCTACCCCCCCCCCAAAAAAAAAAAACACCTTGCACCACTGGATCTGCAATAAGATTGACACCCTTCAAATGAAAGCAATCAAACAACTGGTGAAGAAAATTGAAGATATAGAAAAAAGAAAATCTGATCAGATCATGTATAAACTACATCAATTATAGGAACAATTATAGGAACAATTATAAACTATATACATCAATTATCGGAAAAATTACATTGATAGGTTCAATTATAGGAACACTTGTATTATTCATCTATAAAATTACATAGAAAAATAACATATTTTTAGTTATTAGCAGGACTCCCATGGACAGAGTGCGGTATAGGTGAGGTTACGCTAATCCACATAAGTTGTTAATTAGTTTGGTTTCAGTAATGGATCTGCCCCACCTCGTTTGATTTGCCAAGTTGAATTCGTTTTAGTGTTCCCCCAAGCACTATATAATTAGATGGTGTTAAAGCAATATCTAATTATATACATTATGACGCTATCTGAACATGACGCTTACATAACAGCAATAGATGATATGGGAAATAGAATTATTGATGATGCTAAATACCCAGTTGTTAAAGAGAATAAAATTAAGCAGCGTTGTAAATATTCACTAGAAATATCAAAATTGATAATTACATATCTAGAACTTTATATATATGCCTCGGAAAAAGCAAAGTTTGGTGTGTTATGTACTAAAACTCTGTGTTGGAAAAAAGGCTGCGGTGATAGTAGTAAGTCAAGCTTAGAGCCAAACCCAAAACAACATGAAAACCAAAAAACAAAAAACAAAACTCTGAGGAGAATCTGTGGTTTCAGCCTGAAAGATGGTTTTTTTTGGTGTTCATTGAGTTTTTGTTGGCTTTTGTTGGTTTCATTCATCAAAAAAACACAAGTTGTTTGGTTTTTTGCTTTGGTCTATGCAACCTGGAATCACAAAAAAACAAGAAAACACCAGTTTTTTTTGGTTGTTGCATATTTTTTTGAAAAAAAAAACAAAAACTTGTGTTTTTTTGGTTTTTGGGCATTGGTGATTGTATAGACCAAAGCAAAAACAAAAAACAAAGCTTGTGTTTTTTTGTTTTTTTGATGAATGAAACCAAAAAAAAATAACTCAATGAAAACAAAAAAGAATAACATCTTTCAGGCGGAAACCAAAGATTCTCCTCAGAGTTTTTTTTTTGGTTTTTTGGTTTTGGCAGTCTGTGATTAGTAAATGTTCGCAGTGAGCCTACTTTATTGCGTATGGATACTATTTTATATATTACTTAATTTAGTTTAATAGTTTCTTCATATGATTCATCTTCATCTCCTCAGGCTAAGGCTGCGGTGGGGGCTGAGTATGCAATTTATCGTTTGTTTTATTTTATAATTTACAAACATATGTGAAATTTATATAAAATATGTGTTTAATGTATATTCACAACCCTTATTACTAAGAAAAAATGGTGCCCCAAATATGCAATTTTTACTGTAAATATCAGTGAAATATGACTTTGGGACTTTGGGTGGGTTTTGGGGGCGGTACCATATATATATATATATGTGTGTGTCTACGTCTATGACTACAATGACTCCAATGTTGGTGCTATTGTTCAGCGCTTGCAGCTACCTTCAAACAGGAACATGAGGGTGTTTTTCAATTGTGTTGTATAGAATAACCGTTCTAGCTTTGATAGTGCGTATTCAAACTCAAAATGCCCAGCACTTTGACACATTACACAAGTATCCCACCTGATCATCCTCTGATCTTTTTCTCAGAGAAGGTGTTTCAAACCACACCTACTGCAGGAAGCAAGTAAGTCATGCTGTGTGCATGCTGTTTTCGTCCTGGCCTCATGCTGCACTTTTTGCCGAACCACATGGCCCTTGTTGTACCTGTGATACCTGAGACGTGTACACCCAATGCATCACAATACGGACAATACGAACAAGTTTGTCATGATGTATCCACAATCACACGGATTCCAAGGAACAGCTAGGGCTCGTGCGCCTTCATGATTAATGCATCCATGGGTACGACCTGGCAAGCTTGCAAAGCAAAAAGAGGAGATCTGCTCAAGCCTCCTCAACACCGACATCTGAGAAAGGGGTCCGAGCGAGGTGCCTGAGGGATAGTTTTAGTTCGCATCTCTTGGTGAACCATGGGTTCGCCCACGCAGGGATTGAATTGTTCTGTCTGCACTCTGCACGGCCTATTCTTTGGAATGGGTTGGAGCTCCGCAAGAAATCAAATGCAAATGGTTCAGACCATTGACGCTTTGCTTGGCTCATCACATGAAATCCAACTTACAAACAATCGCTAAAAGCTGCTTGGCAATGGCAACGGTGCCATGAGCTGCTTTGGACTCGTAGATTTCATCATTGTCAGTGAAAATGTCCTGCAAACACATCACACGTCAACCTGCACGTGCACTTGTCAAGAGGAAAATCAGGTTTTAAAATGCATGAACATGTATCAAAACTGCCATGTCGCACCTCATCAAGCAAGAAAAACTCAACGGAGCAGAAGTGCATTGGAGCAGGCACTTTGAACATCTTGGCTCGCAGGGCAGTCGCCCAGGACGGTGTTCGGTTTTTGGTTTCGGTCTATGTCAATCTGTTCTTCGTTTGCACCTACAATTCTCAGCAAAGAATAATAGAAGTGCCGGCTTACGGAGGTTCCGGGTACCCGACGAAGAAAATCCACAAGATTGAACCCACGAACTCGAAAGTATGACAATTTGAATATCCCGGGCTGTGTGACACTCTAGAAGAACGCTCATCTGCGACCGTCTTCGAGAACGCTCTTGTAACTAGTGTGGGATATTATGGGCACTCTTGCGTGATACTTTTGCTTGACACTCTTGCCCGGGACTCCTCTAGGAGACTTCTGTGTGACTCCTGTGGAACACTCTAGTGACTCTACACCGGCCCGCAGAAGTCAAAGCAATTTCAAAAGCCACGCCAGTTCCACATGAGACGCCGCGCATTCAGGAAGTCAAACAAGTCAATGCAAAAACATGTAGATCACCATCAGGACGCAGCGATAAAACTATGTTTGTTTCTATCGTTTAATCTTACTTGAACGCCTCAGAAAACTGTATTCCAGCATGTGGACGCACATCCAACAATGACCAGGAAACGAAGGAATTGGTATGTTTCTTGACTGAGTTCACCATGGGACGCCGTATGATCCACTCCACCAAGTGACGGTTCCCCAAAGCGCTGATACTAATCCATGTGCATGCTCCAGTGTGGCTTCGTGATGGTTGTGGTTTGATCATTGGCTGACTTGAGCATGTGTCTTGAATCCCTACACAACCACAGCAACCGACTCTGTCGAGGATTTGTGGCAGCAGCCTGATTCAGGATTCCTTGCCGCGGCCTGAAAGATCTAAATCAGAATGCTCGTGAAACACTCCTTTTTTTGTAGGACACTTGTGCTGAAAAACTCTGGGACAAAACTTCCTTCAGCACAAGCCTTCCTCCAAGACAAACGCTTCGTCCGAAACTTCTTCCAGAAGTGAGACGCTAAATCCTCAAGACAAGCACTGCACGCGAGACTTCCTCCAGAAATGAGATGGGAAGTCTCCAACACCAGCATTTCGTGCGAGATGTCTTCCCATGAAAGTGAGACAGGAAGCTTCGGGTTTCCAGCACAAGCATTTCGTATGGCGAGGTGTCTCCAAAAAGGCAATTTTGTGTAATTTTGTACCAGACCTCCTCCAAAAGTGAATTGGGAAGCCCCATTCAGAGCGCACACATCAACCTGCCAAGCAATTTGGCAGTCCAAGCGCCTCCAAAAACCGTCCGCTGACGCGCACCTTCCCAATGGCACAGCACCTCCGCCAGACTCGCAACGCTCCCACTCTCTTCGCCTGCCCTCCGCCAAACGTCGCAACATCATGACTCCCTGTGCATGCCACAAAACTTGGTTCGAAGCAACCTTTTCAAAGTGCTTTGCCCCTCCTACGAAGAGTGACAATTCTCCACACCTTCGTGCCTTTAGTAAAAATTGCAACACAAAACACATTTGGAATGGTTTCAACACCTTGCTGGTCACAAAAACACAGGTTTATCGTGCGCCCAGCTCACAAAACGCTGCACCTGCGCAGCCAAATGGTATGATGCACTTTGAGAAGTCAGGTGTTCATGTTTTTACAAACGAATCGGACAAATCGTGAATCCATCCAAGACCTCCTCCAAAAGATTCCCACAAAAGTAGGGCCATAGAGATGCTACCGAAACGGTTGCCAGCGCTCGCGAACACACAGCATCACGCGAAGAATGCTGGCAGAAACCCCGCATTTGCTCAAAGAGTTGCTGCACATATGGAAGAGCGTCTCGCTGAAAACGGAAACTGAATAGGCCCCAAATGACCTTGAGTTTCAACACCAACACACACTTATGGATATGCGTACTGACTCGACAGCGGTGTCACACGCCGGCCTGAGTCAAAAACCTAAGGAACCAGGACAGGTGTCAGTAAGTGGAGGCCCTGACTGCAAGGTTGGAGGCCAGCAAGACTCAAAACACGAAACGCGAGTAGCGATTAGTAACAAAACCACATGAACCACCATGAAAGCAAACCACAGCGAGAACAACAGGTAACCAGTTTGGCAGGTACGTTTGCGCGGACCCCAGAGGAGGTCTTCGTTGGCCACCGCTCCTCTGGGGCCCCGGTGGCCCCCTGCTGAAAAACGAAAAAAAGAAAAAACTAGCACAATCCGACTGGATCCCTGTGACTACAAGGGGCACACACACACACACACGCCTCCCCAAAGGGAGGCCTCTGGACGAATCCGGAATCCCTCAAACTGAACCAATCGGCCATTCGTAGAGTCCAATTCTCATGTGCGCTACTCAGTACGTCAATAAGACGTACATCCACGATAGGCGCGGACAAAGCAGTAGTAAGGCCAGGAATGTCTAGTAGCGTCAAAGTAGCAACCTGGCATCTAGTAGGAAGGCCAGGAGCCCCTAGTAGCAACCCAAGCTAAGGTCCCGACAGGAGCGAGGGGTAGGGAGAGACGAGAAAAAGGAAAGAGAAGAAAGGAAGGTGTTCCCAGCTACGACGTATGCGTCCAAGGACACACCAAAGGAAAAGAGGAGAAGGGTTCCCAGCTATGACAAAAGCATCCAGGGACACCCAAGGAGGAAGGAAGGTGAAGAGAGGAAAGAAAGAGAAAGAAAGAGAGAGGGAGAGAAAGGGAGAGGAGAGAAAAGAAAAAAGGCAGGTGTTCCCAGCTACGAACAATCGTCCAGGGACACACCATAGAAAGAAAGGGGTGATCCTGAGTATTCCATTCAGGAAAGCACCAAAAGCAAAGAAAGAAAGGGGGAGGGGAAGGGGAAGGGCCCCCTGCTGAAAAACGAAAAAAGAAAAAATTAGCACAATCCGACTGGATCCCTGTGACTACAAGGGGCACACACACATACGCACACCAAAATAGGTTACAGGGATGTGGCTGAAGTAGTTTAACTGCCGTAGATGCGTGTAGCCTGAAGAATGTTTCACTTGAGACTGCGCCGCAGCTTCACGTCATTGCTAGCGTAGGTCGATGAGAAGAAAGGTCCTAGCACTCTCACCCCCAAAGCCCCAAGTTAAACGAGAACTCTTTGCTGCGCATTCGTGAAGAACCTGTATTTTCCACGGGTGTCAATCAAAAGAATAACATAAATCAGAAACTTGAGGAGTGAGAAAACAAAAGTCGCCACCATGAAACCCAGATAAAGCAAGGATCAGAAGCTCCACCGTGAGGATAGTCGGGAGATGGAGCAGTGGTCAGGTGAGATGAAACAACGCCCACTTCAAGTGACAGTTCAGTTCCACACATAGGCCTTCAGTCACAGGTGGGGGGGGGGCGGAGTGCTTTTGTTCTTGTGGATGAAGGGGCGCTTGGAAGAGAGAAAGGGGCACCTCGACGTCAGTTAGAGCCAAGATCAAGTGAGCGCGTCACGCCCCCTCCGCTATGCCTATCCACCACATGAGCTCGCGCCCCATATGGGGTGCCCTTTTGCGTATGGTTAAGGGGCGTCTTCACCGTAAAGAAAGGGCACCCCAAGAAACTCAATATTTCTTGTCCAACCACGTCCTCCTCCGCTACGCCAGTCCTCCACATCAACTCCCACCCTGTATGGTTTGCCCTTTTGCGCATGGCTAGTGCGCCGCCCCCAAAGCTAGCCCACCGCACTCTGTTCCCTCTCCTGCCCTCACAGATCACATCATTTCCACAAGACAACAGTGTCTTAAGAGACACAAACCTCCCTTTCACCCCTGGTCGAACACTACTTCAATGGGCACCAGAGATGCACATCTCCCTTTCCTGGAGGCGGTTCAATCACTTTTCGGGCCCGCTGTCCTCTATCGTCGACATGACATCCCACCCCTGTTAGAAGACGGCTTACATTGCCTCGTAAGCCCCTCATAATGCTAATGATGCACTCTTCGCCGTCAATTACATCACTTGCATCACAAGACCAAACATGTTCAATCCCAAGCTGACGCCTGTTCTTTTCGTTCTCCCCCACCAGGCTCTGGGCTCGCCCTCCGAAATTGCCCTCTGTGCGACCATCAAGGTCGACGTCTGATTCGGTAACCAAACGGTCTGATTCGGTAACTATGATTCGATAACTAAAAGCGCTGATTCGATAACTAAAAGCGCTGATTCGGTAACTAAAA